CCCCAAAACCCCAAAACCCCAAAACCCCAAAACCCCAACTTTTGATGGAGTAGTTGAATTTTTTATTAGTATCTGTATTTTGCCTCATCAAGCATGTTAAATTTTTCATCATAAGCTTTAGCGATAATTTGTCTATCCTGGGTGAACTCTAAGTGCCAGATATGTTGAGTTATCTTCCATTTGACAAACCATTGTGGGTCAACGTGTGGCGGGTTATCATCAACATGAATTCCCCATGAACCTTCTCCAAGGTAAACGGTTCCTTCCTCACTTTCCTCAAAGTTTAGGAGCTTCTTGCTTCTTTTGAAGACATGAGAGTGATTCTCTGATACAATTGTCATGTTGTATTTATCAAATAAAGGAATCCACTCTTCTTTTCCGTGCTTAATAACTTTATAATCTGGGTCACTTGTGTGCCTTACTGCTGTTACTATTGGCCCATGGTATTGGGCCATCTTTATCTCAGCGTTTGAAGCCTCAAGATGATTGTGCAGCCAGGCTGTTTGGTTTCCTTCCATGGGTGAATAATATCCAGCATCTAGAAAAAACATCTGGAGTTTGTTTCCTAATTTATGTTGGAAATAAGACCTTCTTTCCGTCACATTAGGGACTTTGCCATTAACTGTGTTTTGAGGGAAATAATGCTTAAATATTGGCTCATGCTTAGTATGGGGGATCTCTGCTCCAACATATGAGTTAACACCAGCATCATGATTTCCTAGGGCAATCATCAGAGGAACAACTCTTGTTGAGTTAGTCTCTTCGTCGTACCTATCATATGGAAGTCTTTTAAGGAAATAGTCTACTGCTCTGTAGCAAGTTGGGACTCCGTTATCGTAAGCTATATCTCCTCCAATCATGATCATGTCAAAATTAAGCTAGAAATTATATTGATAGATTACTTTTGAAACTACATTTTTGTTCATATCAACTGCTCCTTGCTTATTGCCAACATCTCCTCCAAGAAGAATCGAGAAGTTATCCTTGTTGAAAGTCTTATAGGAGTACATCTCAGATTTAGGATTGTTCCAAGCAGAGTTTTCGAATTTGAACAGGTAAGTACTATTTTCATCAAGATTTTCAACCAGAGCTGTGTAAATTTCTCTTCGAGAATACTCAGATTCTGGGTGATCGTATTCATTCTTTACAGGTCTGATCTTACTCCAAGTACTGTCACCTACCTTTTGGTACTCCACTGTTGGATCACAGGTATTTTTAGCACAGGAAGCAGGATTTACATGAAAGTTGAAAAAGACATCATTTAGTCCATTTTCAGGAAGTGTTGGGTAAACTATTCATGGTTTTTGCTCATCAGGGCATGTTGGATCCATATGATACCTCCCCCAAGCAGTTGAGAAGTGAAACTTCATGATGTTCAACCCCGGTGTTGTATTGTTGTGAATTCACATGCAGAAGCCAGCATAAAATGTAACTGAAGAGTAACAATAAATAAAGAGAACAATTACTAAAGGAATTATCCACTTTCTTAAACGATGAATCATCTCAGGGGAAACAAACAGTATTTTCAAGAATCTATTGATTGCCAAGAACCACAATGGAAATATAAGAACTAGTTTAAACAGTGCAACCAAGAAATTAGCAGGTAGATAATCATATGCGACAAACACATCAAAAAGGCAAGTGAGGCAGAACAGAAGTGCTGCTTCAAGTGCAACCCAGACTATTCTAAGCCTTCCCTGGGTTTTTGTATCATATCATCTGCCAGGCTCATTTTCTCTAGGCCTATCAGTATCAGAATCACCGCCATCTAGAGAGGCTGGTCTCTCTCCAATCCTTCTCATTGGAATTTCATTCCCGCTAAAGAATCAATTGGTTAGATATTTTCTGGTAAAAAGATCTTTAGTTTAAAAAGTAAACACTGTATTTTCTCTCAAGGGAAGTTTATTCCCAAAGAATAGGGAAGCTTCAAGAGTAGATGCTCGACTGTAATTGAGATAGATATTGATCTTGTAGACTAGGAGGGTGCTTACCTAATTTCATCTAGTTCTTGGTATTTCAACTTCGCTCTACCTACAAGGCATCTTACAACCCAGTATATGACGCCTAGTATCATCATTGTGAGGACCTAAACATTACTATGGAGTCTTACGATAGCAACGATAGATAATACGAAGGTAAACTGGTAATAAGTCGCCTTCGAAGTCTTAATAATTGGAAGATGGTCAAACATGTTTGGACTTCCTTAATTTATATAATATATTTGAACTTCCCGGGGTTTTGGGGTTTTGGGGTTTTGGGGTTTTGGGGTTTTGGGG